GTGGGTCGAAGCAGAGCCGGTCAGTAAGTGTGACGCGGCAACAACAGTTCAATTTATCAAAAAGGTGATTTTTCGCTCTGGTTTTCCCCACAACATTATAATTGATAATGACACTAATTTGTCCAAGGGTGCTTTGAAAGAGTTTTGTCAACGCGAGCATATTCGACTCGACGTCTCGTTAGTAGCTCACCCCCAATCCAATGGTCAAGCTGAAAGAGCCAATCAAGAAATTTTGAGAGGCATCAAGCCCTGGCTTATGGTTCCTTTGCAGAGGATGCCGGGTTGTTGGGTGGAGGAGTTACCTCAATAGTTCGACACTAGGCTCCTCTTGAAGGTATACTTCACAGAGAACTTGGAAGTTGCAGATGTTTGACACGGAATTGGGTCCAATGTCTTGAGGGTTAAGTTCAAAGAAGTGCAGAACATCTCGGAAAAATTTAGAACCGGGCGGTGAGAAGCCCCAATTCATGTGATCAGTAAAAATGATGACTTCACCATCCTTTGGCTGAGGTTTTTCTTCTTTTGGGGGCGCGATAATGCATGACAGTCTTTTCTGGCTAATAGCCGGTTTTCACAAAGTCCTTGAGCGTGTCCTCAGCGACAATGGAGGGAACCCAGTTACACAAAGTGACTGTCTTCGGCGGCATTGTGAAACAAGAAGCCTAAAAGAAAAGAACAGTTTTTACCGGTTTAAATTGATTCATTAAGCCAGCGGATAAATATTACAGTACATATTCAAAGTGGCGGCTTAAAAGGGGCCTAATGATATATAACTAGACTGATATCTATCAAGCATGCAATTTGCTAAAGTATTGAATCAGGCTACGACTGGTGATATAAGCCGCCATGACCATATGGACATCTATCAAGTGTGAAATTTGCTAAGTGTTGAATAAACAGGTTTTATAAAATGGAGCAGATGATTTGGATCTAGCACAGTATGAAAAAAGAAAATAATTCAAAACCTAAGTATTGCGGCAGCAGAGGAACTAGCACAAGGGCAAGATCTCTACATCTGTGAAGCAAGTTTTGAGACAACAGAAGGAGCGTAAACAGGTTCCGCGTGTCCTAAGGATATATTTGGATCTAAAATAAGAGCTAACTAGAGGAATAGTGAAGAACGCCAAAGAACGATGAAGAACTCGAAGAACTACAGAAACCCTAATGGAGATCTACGGTGGAGAAGATAAAGGGCTTACCGGATCCGAGGGGCAATGAGGAGGCATGGCAGTTTCTCTGGTCTCGTTCAGGTTGATGCAGCGGCCAAGGACGAGGAAGACGGTGAGCTCGCGGTGGCGGTGGAGCTCGAAGTGGCAGATGAGTCGCGAGAGGAGGAGGAAGACGAAAAGGAGAAGGGGAGAATGAAAGAAGGGATGTTTGACCCTATTTATAAGGAGAAAGTTAACAGGTGGGCACGAAAACGAGGAGGCCAAAGAATGATTATCCAGCGGTTTGGACGCCTCGATTTTCGGGGTGGTCATTAAAGTTAAGGATCCGTTAAGATATGTTGGATATTGTGTAAAATTAAAATTGCAGATGACGCCATGGAGGGTTACCACAATCGTAGGAGATGACGTCATGGCGAGTTATGAGATCTCACACAAATGAAGATGGAAGGATTTTTCTAAGTGTTGAAGATTGACATGAACAAATTCAAATCAATCTGGGGCCTGATGTTGGAGATATAACTATTAGGTATGACCCGCCCAGGAGGGGTCGGGTTATACCTATGGCGGTTCATCCATATGAAGCCCACGAGGATATTGAAGATGGCGGTTCATGGGGCGAAGGCCCAAGAGCAACTTAAGGCCCATAGGGTAAACCGCAATATGTGTATGACTTATATTGTAAGGCAGGTATAGTTATTCACCAAGCCGGACACATTGTCTATGAGTCGGCCGGGACTCCGTGAGCCGTTGGGCGTTAACCTGTGTATATAAAGGGACGACCCGGCGGCGGTTCAGGGTAAGAAACGAGAGATTGAAAGCTAGGTCAAGCGTATTCGCTCCCTGGTAATCAAGACATAAGCAATACCACCTCAATTTGGACTAGGCCTTTACCTTCACCGTAAGGGGCCGAACTAGTATAAACTCTTGTGTCCTTTGTGTCGTTTAACCCCTTTAAGCTAACCTAGTTGCGATGGCTCCACGGTTAAGTCCTTACACTAGGACATCTGCCGTGACTATTCCACGACATTCCCAGAGGGCTAGTGCCTCCATGATCAATGGGTCTGTCACCCCATCATGTGGCTTGCACCACGTACCCAGCAGACTAGACGCCGAGCGCGCCACTCCGCCAGCTCCTCCCTTACCAGAGAGAATATCAATGGCTCCATCACAATTGATCTTGATAATATCATCCTCAGGTGGCCGCCATCCACAGCCTGGTAATATTGAAGCTTTCTTCCTGGGTAGCTCCAAAAGTGCAAGGTCTTCTCTGATCTTTTTCACTGCATTGCCAGGATCAAGTCTCTCGTGATCATGAACCCATCTGTTGCGCGAATGCCAGATGGCCCACATGACTGTAATAATCTTCGCCCTTTCATCCTCTGCAGACCTGCTATCACATATGATATCCCTGGACCAAGTGTCAGGGTGCAGACGTGGTAGATGAAACTCAAATAGCGCTTCTGCTTCATTCCAGAATCGCTTTGCATGTGTACAGTGTAGCAATGCATGCATTAGATCTTCTCTAATTGCAAGGCATACGTTGCATCGATCCAGTTCTTTGGTATGTCTTCGCTCTCTTTGATCGGAGGATCTTATTCAGCACCCGCCACCAGAAAACTCACACTTAGGTATAACCTTTAGCTTCCATAAGGAGTTCCATAGTTGTCTTTCGGTCTGTGAGGTGCCCATATCCGCCCCTTTCTCTCGAGCTAATCGCTCTTTGTGAGTCACAAGAGTGCGGTATGCTGATTTGACAGTATAGATTCCCGTGGATTCAAAGGCCCATGCTTGAAAATCCTCTCATCCACCATTGCGCAGCGGGATGTTTAAGATTGCTTGGGCATTCGGTGCCAGGAAGGTTGCACGAACAAGATCATGTCGCCATGCCCAATTCACCTGATCAATCAGCTCATTCACAAAAACAAGAGATGTGTTGTCTGGTTTGACCATAGGAGCCATCGAAATAGTATCAGGGATCCACTTGTTCTCCCAGATGGAGATCATGGAACCATCCCCCACCCTCTTGATCAGACCAAGCTTCAATGCATTGCGGCCGGCAACAACCTCTCTCCAGATAGGTGATGTCGTCTTCGGGATTGTGGCAGCTATAAAGTTTGAATCTGGGAAGTATCTAGTTTTCATAACTCAAGAGCACAAACTCTCTGGTTGTACCATAAACCCTCCAGCCGTGCTTCCCCAACAGAGCAAGGTTAAAGGCCTCGAGATCCCAAAACCCCATCCCCCCTGCTTCTTTCGGGGTGGCTAGCTTCTTCCAAGCAAGCCAGTGAATCGAATGCATGTCGATGTTACTGCTCCAGAAATACATGGCCATGCAAGATGTGATCTTCTTGCACACCTTTTTTGCTAAGCGGAAGCAAGTCATACTGAACGTTGGTATCGCTTGAATGACGGATTTCAGCAGTATTTCTCGCCCCGCACACGCCAAATCTCTCTCGAGAGCACAAGTTGCATTGTAGAGAGTACAAGTTGCAGTACATGTGAGTACTTGTACCCTCTAAAGAAGTACAAGTATCTTACTCCATGAAGCACATGTACGCGCGTGACCGTGAGGCGCACATGATTGTTATATTTGTTAGTCACAAGGCTACAAGTTACATCAAAGAAAAAAGGTACGTCAAGACCTATGAGTATGGGGCCTAGTTTCGACTCTGAAAAACAAAATACCGAAAACAGCTCATAATTCAAACATCGGTTTAAAATATATTTTATTAAAAAACAGATAAAAATACATGATATGATTTGCGAGAATATGTGATAAAAATCAGATAAACACGTAGCAACCTCCTATTTCTTTTTTTTAGCATCAGTACAGACACAAGCGCTCATATATACGCGCATACACTCACCCCTATGAACACACACACGCACACCCTACCCCTATGAGCACCTCCGAAAGACTGAGCCGGTATATTATCTTGAGATTTACGAAGCCACCGTAGAGATTTACGAAGCCACCGTAGGCGTCTCGTCGTCGACGGGAACGTCTCCTCCCACTGAAAGCACATCACCGGAAATCCTGAAGGATACCACTGTCCACCTAACCATCTCAACCACATATTGGTTCGCAACCTCCTATTCCTTCTGATAGGAGAAGATCCACTATAACTCTCTGGCGACACAAATGACACATTGCGTCACTTGCCACCCACCTGAAGAGGGTTCGGGGTAATCTTTGCAAAATGCAGTCCTTAACCAACTGATGATTTCGAGGGAAAAAAAAGAAGCAAGGTTGTGAGTTGTACGCGATCCCCGTACAGCTGACAAAATGGGGAAACCGTTCCCGTACAATGTGATCCTGAACGTTAAGATCACAGACGCACAGTACAGTTGGGATGGACCCAAAGTATCGGGATAGGCCAGATAGGAAGTTGAGTAGATACTCTACTGTCTAGGATCGACCTGGAACTTAGCATCGGTTAGGATCATCTTCGTGGCACCAACGGCAAAGTACTTGGCTGTCACCGAGACACCGACCGATGGCATGGCAGTGCGCCACGGCCACGCAGGGGGGGTGGCATGCATGGAGGAACAGGTCAAGAATAGAGGGAGACCGACCGCAGGCGGTGGAGCCCGATAGATCGGCGAGCGGACGCGCGGGCGTTGCGGCCGCTGGAAGAAACCAACCGCACGCAGCCATGGCGCCTCGACACATATAAGCCCGGACCCTCCCCGGCCTCCTCTGCCTCCCCCCGTCCCCTCCCATCTCCACCGCCGCATGTGCCCGCCGTCGCGTTGATCGATCCGCCGACCAGCCGGAGAGGGAGCGAATCTATCCGTATACACAGGAGGAGCCGGAGAGACGAGGGGACGATGACGGCTGGGCCCAAGATGCGCGCCGGCGCCGCCACCGCGGTGCTGGCGCTGGCGCTGCTCGCCGTGGCGGTGCGCGCCGAGGACCCCTACCTCTTCTTCGACTGGAAGGTGGCGTACGGGACCAAGTCCCCCATGGGCACGCCCCAGAAGATGATCCTCATCAACGGCGAGTTCCCCGGCCCCACCATCAACTGCACCTCCAACAATAACATCATCGTCAACGTCTTCAACGAGATCGACCAGCCGCTCCTCTTCACCTGGTACGCCTTGCGTTTCTTTCTATTCTGTTATGTTGTTACTGGTAAAATGGAAGTAGGATCATTCTGCATTGCGTACTACTACGTGTGCATGCATGCATGCAGGCACGGGATCCAGCAGAGGAAGGCCTCGTGGCAGGACGGCATGCCGGGCGACATGTGCCCCATCCTGCCGGGCACCAACTTCACCTACAAGATGCAGTTCAAGGACCAGATCGGCACCTTCTTCTACTACCCCAGCATCGGCATGCAGCGCGCCGCCGGAGCCTACGGGCTCATCAGCATTCACAGCCGCCCGCTCATCCCGGTGCCCTTCGACCCGCCGGCCGACGACTTCGGCGTCCTCGTCGGCGACTGGTACACCAAGGACCACACCGTGCTGGCCAAGAACCTCGACACCGGCAAGGGCATCGGCCGCCCCGCGGGGCTCCTCATCAACGGCAAGAACGAGAAGGACGCCTCCAACCCGCCCATGTTCAACGTGGAGGCCGGCAAGACGTACCGCTTCCGCGTCTGCAACGTGGGCATCAAGACCACCCTCAACGTGCGCATCCAGGGCCACGTCCTCAAGCTGGTCGAGATGGAGGGCTCCCACACCGTGCAGAACGAGTACGACTCAATGGACGTCCACATCGGCCAGTGCCTCTCCTTCCTCAGCACCGCCAACCAGAAGCCCGGGGACTACTTCTTCATCGCCTCCACCCGCTTCATCAAGGGGGTCAGCACCATCACTGCCGTGATGCGCTACAAGGGGTCCAACACCCCGCCGGCGGCCAAGCTGCCCGACGCGCCGGACGGATGGGCCTGGTCCATCAACCAGTGGAGGTCCTTCCGCTGGAACCTGACGGCCAGCGCCGCCAGGCCCAACCCGCAGGGGTCCTACCACTACGGGCAGATCAACATCACCCGCACCATCAAGCTCTCCAGCAGCCGCGGCAAGGTCGACGGCAAGGAGAGGTACGCCCTCAACGGCGTGTCCCACACCGACCCTGAGACGCCCCTCAAGCTCGCCGAGTACTTCAACGCCACCAAGGGAGTGTTCGAGTACAACCTCGTCACCGACACGCCGCCCAAGGAGGGCACACCCATCAAGGTCGCCCCCAGCGTCATCACCGCGGAGCACCGCACCTACATTGAGATTGTCTTTGAGAACCCCGAGAAGAGCATCGACACCTTCCACCTCAACGGCTACGCCTTCTTCGCCGCCGGGTAAGACTACGTAATTTCATGCAACTACTAAGCTGCATGCCTGATCATCGATCGGGTCTGTCTGACCGGTGGATGGATGGATGGGTGGATGCAGCATGGGACCGGGGCTATGGACGGTGGAGAGCAGGAAGACATACAACCTCCTGGACACGGTGAGCCGGCACACGATCCAGGTGTACCCGAGGTCGTGGACGGCGGTGATGCTGACGTTCGACAACGCCGGGATGTGGAACTTGAGGTCCAATCTGTGGGAGAGGTACTACCTGGGGGAGCAGCTGTACGTGAGCTGCACCTCGCCGGCCAGGTCGCTCAGGGACGAGTACAACATGCCCGACAATTCCCTCCGCTGCGGCAAGGTCGTCGGCATGCCGCTGCCGCCGCCCTACACCATCGCATAAATTACTCTCCCCCAGCTCCATTAATTCCACTCCACTCCCCTCCATGAGAGAACGCTTGCATGCATGGTGCTGTACACACTACGTACGTACAACGACAACAACAGGAAGAGCAGGAGAGTTTTTTCGTTTCTTCTTTTTTTTCGTACGCCCCCACGTCCACTCTTCTTCTTGTCAGGTTCACTCTCTCTTTTCGAGGAAAATAAAAACAACAACAAAGGGGGGCTCATCGTCATGTGGGCGCCACCTGTCATCGGAACGAGGATGATGATTTCAGAACAAGAAGAAGAGAGATTGGCCGGATACGAAGCTCGATCGGGACGCCCTCTCGAATCGTTTACGTTGTAATAGGAGTTAATTAATTCTATCTGATGATCATCATTTATCCAATAAGTCCTTCGGGCAAATTGGTTATTGTGTGTCTATAATCCCATACTATATATACGTACATGAGCGCACCTTTGCGGTTTTCATTCCATCTTCTGTTTTCTCTAACTTCCCTTGGATGGAACTTAATTAAAATCTGGTTCACTGTACCTTTGCAAAACTTTCTTTGGGTTCAGTGTACCTTTGCAAAACTGTCACAATGGATCGCGATAATAAAAAGCGAAAGAAAACACTAGCATAAGCTCATCAGATCCATATATATATATGAACGAATCATAAACCTCAATCTGTATGGCCGAACACACCAAACTTGTAAGCCACAAACTTTCTGACTCCATGGACTCCATGGCGTCGTCTGACAAGACTTCGGCACAACAGGAGAAGAACCGTAGTACTTGCTGACACGGCACCCTTCGCCAGAACGTTGCCGATGAAAATCGAAGGGATCGCACAATAAAAACTTTTGACAACGTCTATGAAGATGCAACATTCTCCTCACCTCGCAACACGACGACGGGAGGTGAGGGATAGTGAAAATCATTTTTTTTTTTGCTTTTTTAAACACAAACTACTTTTTTTTCCAATAGGAACTACACAACTATGGTATGACATAATGGAATATGCAAAACAGAAAAATTAACAACCCCTAACACCGATGAGCTGCCATTGACGAGAACCATCGACCCCGAGAAGAACATCTATGCAACAAGGAACCAACAACGCTGCCACAAAGACTCCACCAAAGGAATCCTCTTTGAGGTTTTCTAAGCCTCATGAGCCCCCGGAGCTATCCCGAATTTGAAGACAATGAATGCACCTTGCAAAGTCCTTGGATCAGTGAGAACTTCACTGGCAAAGAAAGCAATCATCGTCCGCGTCCACTGTAGAGTTGTAAAGGAAGAAGAGCGTTATCCAGCTTGTAGAAGAACCGTACAACAAACAACAAGTTTTGAAGAATGGCAACGGATTAAATCTGAGGACACAAACTTTCACCGACCATTTGCTGCAGCAAATAGGATGACGTTAAGATAAGAAGAGACCAGAGAAACCTTACTCCAACACGCCATTGTTCCCCAACTCCTATTTGGCGCCTTCAGCGCCAGAGAAACCTTACTCCAACACGCCATTATTCCCCAACTCCTATTTGGCGCCTTAAGCGCCAGTTAGTGTGTATTTTGCTAACCAGCACATACCCCCTCCGCAACACCGGCCCATGTAGGGTTTTTTTTCCACCAGATTTTCCCATTTCTTTTCATTTTATTCGTTTTTAGTTTTCTTTTTCTTTATTTTTTTCATTTTTAGGTTATCAAATTCCTGAACTTTTCCCAATTTCATGAACTGTTTTTCAAATTTGAATTTTTTTATTTTTTTTGTGAACTATTCTTCAAGTTTGAAACTTTTTATTTTTTTTACTTTTACTTTCAGATATGTGAACTCTTTCCCAAATTTTGTGAACTCATTCACATTACGAAATTTTTTCAAATATTTTTCTGAACTTTTTTAAAATTCATGCACATTTTTTCATTTTCACAAACTTTTTTTAATCATGAACTTTCCAAGACTTGAATTTTTTTTAAAAATATTATTCTTTACAAATTTAATCAACATATTTTGTTTTAAAAGGGGTTGAAATTTTTTACAAATTTGTTGAACTTTTTTTCATTCTTTTGTGAAATTTTGCATTTTTGAAAAGTTAAAGATCACTGGTGTTCCCCTCAAGGTGATAGCAGGCCCATCAATCAAGCAATTTTTTAAAAAGTTCAGTTGGGCATGCCCCGTTTGCGTTTGGGGGTCCGGCCTGGTCTGGGCGTTCAGCGTATGGCTTGCCTCAAAAAAAAAAAGGTCAGCGTATGGTGGAATCTCCCCCAAGCACCGCCACTTCACGAGCCACACGCGAACGCGATCTGGCGCCACTCGTACCAATTAAACATTAAACCGCCTAGTCAAGGCTAAAGTCCACTTAAGCATAGAATAAAATGCAAAAAACTAAAAACGCGTCTGCACGCTGTCCTAGTCCTTGCCGCCGTTGTCGTCACCGATGAGGTCGATGAGGGGTGGCAGCGGCCCAGCCTACGGGAATGTGCTCTCCCCCGCCGCCAGCACCGCTTCCTCCAGCATCTGCTCTTGCGGCGGCATTGCTGTGCGGTGGGGGCACTTCTCCTCCACCTGCTCGCAGCGCTTCGCCTCCCGCTCTCGTGCCCAGCGGGCGTGGCGCTCCTCCACGTGCTCAGCCTGCATCTCGTGCTCGTCGTCAGCCCGCTCCCCACCAGCCAATGCTGCCTCCATCACTCCAGGCCCCCCCCCCCTCCGGCGGCGTGTCTATGTGGACAGGAGGTTGATACGTCCATTTTGCATCATGTTTTCTTACTGCTATTTATAATGTTTTTATCCATAATAATGTTTTTTGGAGTAATTCTAATGCCTTTTCTCTCATAATTTGCAAGGTACACATCAAGAGGGAGAATTCTGGCAGCTGGAAATCTGGACCTGAAAAAGCTACGTCAGACTATCTATTCTGCACAACTCCAAACAAGCTGAACCTTCACGGAGAATTTTTATGGAATATTTAAGAAATATTGGAGCAGATAACTACTAGAGGGGGCCCACCAAGTGGGCACAACCCACGTGGGCGCGTCAGGGAGCCCAGGCGCGCCCTGGTGGGTTGTGCCCTCCTCGGCCCACCTCTGGTGCCCATCTTCTGTTATATAAGTCATTTTGACCTAGGAAGAATAAGGGGAGGACTTTAGGGACGAAGCACCGCCGTCTCGAGGTGGAACCTGGGCAGGAGCACTTTTGCCATCCGGCGGAGCGATTCCGTCGGGGAAACTTCCCTCCCAGAGGGGGAAATCACCGTCATCATCATCACCAACAACTCTCCCATCTTGGGGAGGGCAATCTCCATCAATATCATCACCAGCACCATCTCATCTCAAACCCTAGTTCATCTCTTGTATTCAATCTTGTTACTGAAACTATAGATTGGTGCTAGGGGGTGACTAGTAGTGTTGATTACATCTTGTAGTTGATTACTATATGGTTTATTTGGTAGAAGATTATATGTTCAGATCTATTATGCTATTTAATACCCCTATGATCATGAACATGTTGATTATTTGTGAGTAGTTACTTTTGTTTTTGAGGTCGCGGGAGAAATCATGTTGCAAATAATCATGTGAATTTGATATGTGTTTGATATTTTGATAGTATGTATGTTGTGATTCCCTTAGTGGTGTCATGTGAACGTCGACTACATGACACTTCACCATATTTGGGCCTAAGGGAATGCATTGTGGAGTAGTAAATAGATGATGGGTTGCGAGAGTGGAAGAAACTCAAACCCCAGTTTATGCACTATTCCGTAAGGGACCGATTGGATCCTAGAGTTTAATGCTATGTTTAGAATTTATTCTTAATATTTTCTCATAGTTGCGGATGCTTGCGGGAGGGTTAATCATAAGTACGAGGTTTGTTCAAGTAAGAATAACGCCTAAGCACTGGCCCACCCACATATCAAATTATCAAAGTAGCGAACACAAATCAAACCAACATGACAAAAGTAACTAGCTGAAATTCTCGTGTACCCTCAAGAACGCTTTGCTTGTTACAGAGACCATTTTGGCATGTCCTTTGTCTAAAAAGGATTGGGATACCTTGCTGCATACTTATTTTTACTACCGTTACTGGCTCGTTACAAATTATCTTGCTATCAAACTACTCGCTTCTTACAGTTTCAGCACTTGCAGACATTACCTCACTGAAAACTACTTGTCATTTCCTTCTCCTCCTTATTGGGTTCGACACTCTTACTTATCAAAAAGATCTACAATTGATCCCCTATACTTGTGGGTCATCAAGGCTATTTTCTGGCGCCGTTGTCGGGGAGTGAAGCGCTCTTGGTAAGTGGAATTCGGTAAGGAAACATTTATATAGTGTGCTGAAATTTATTGTCACTTGTTACTATGAAAAACAATCCTTTGAGGGGTTTGTTCGTGGTATCTTCACCTCGTCCGGAACCACAATTAGTTACCGCTCAACCTACTACACCTACTAAAAATATTAAATATGAAATCCCTTCGGGTATGATAGAACAACTGGTAGCTAATCCCTATGCAGGAGATGAAACCGAACATCCTGATATGCACTTGATACATGTGGAACAAATTTGTAGATTGTTTAAACTTGCAGGTTTACGCAGGGATGAAGTGATGAAAAAGGTTTTCCCTTTATCTTTGAAAGGAAAAAAGCATTGGCATGGTATAGGCTATGCGATGATATTGGATCATGGAATTGGAATCGTTTGAAATTGGAGTTCCATAAAAAAAATATCCTATGCATCTAGTTCATCGTGATCAAAATTATATACATAATTTTTAGACTCGTGAAGGATAAATTATCACTCTAGCTTGGGGGAGACTTAAGTCGATGTTATATTCATGCCCCAATCATGAGCTCTTAAGAGAAATTATTATTCAGAATTTTTATGCTCGGCTTTCTCGTAATGATCAAACCATGCTGGATACTTCTTGTGCTGGTTCTTTTATGAAGAAAATATTGAATTACGGTGGGATATTTTGGAAAGAATTAAACGCAACTCTGAAGATTGGGAACTTTACGAA